CCCCCCCCCCACCCTTGGCGCTGCGAAAACACAGCACTTTTGTGATGAGCGAGTGAATGATGCTGCTCAGTGCCTTTAACTGGTGGGTGAAATTAGGAACGGAGATGGTCCGGATGTTCTAAAATTTGCAGAGTTTTTAAGGGGGAAATGAGGGAAAGCACTGTAGGAGCCGCTTTTATGATTTTTTTTCTGCAACTATTTATCGAAGTCTCACTGTGGGTTGGGCACAGTGGTAGGACTTTTAAACTTCCTAACTTTCATTTTTCTTGTAGATAAATCGTAAAGTAGCTTAGTCACAAAATTATAATTCCAAGATCTGAAAGGGACTTAAAACAATTGGATTTTCAGGTAAAGAAAGCACTTGTATTCGTGTGAGAGATGAGTACACTGACGGCGATGTTCTGAGTCTGCAGTTGGAATCAGATAGATGTGACCTCCTACTGAAGTAAAACTGTTCCCTTAGATGGGCTCCTGCTGTGCTTTATGCACATTTTAAAATTTTGCTTGACTGACCTCCTCAAGGGCAGGGACTGAGCCTTATTTATTTTTATGTTGCCAGTGCTTGGCATGTTGTTGGAGCTCTATTTTTAACAAGTAAGACAAGTAGTAGCAAAGAAGTACATTTGTCATTCCCAAATAGTTTGTCAGTTTGTGACTGATGGTTAAACTAGTTTGTTACTATTCTGAATTTTAAAGCTCGCTTAATGAAAACTTAAAGTTACTTTAGACTCTGATTAAATTTGTGACATGCATTTTTGAAGTTGAGAGATCTTGATGAAATAATTTACTAATTAAACTCGGGCATAGGAGCCATGGATTGCATTACTTGTGGAGCTCAAAAGGGAATTAGTAACACGGGGATTTGATTTAGTATCAACGGAGTGAGGAAAGCAGACCACTGGAGCGTTGAACTTGTTACAAGTATTGTGTCTGGAAGAACCATGCAAGGAGGGGAAGAAGCTGACGTTAGATAGCCAGAAGTGTTAGCTGCAGAGAAGTCTGGTATATTTTACTGCTGAAAAATGTGGAAAGAATACTGGGAAATGTCTTGGGACTACTGTGGACTCAGTTAAAATGTGTGTTTGTACGCAGTTGTAATATATTGGGACTAATTTAAAATGGATGTTTATGATTGAGTATCAGCTGGGCCTTCTCGTGGGGGAGGGCCGGGGATTTTGGCCTGAAACTAGGGGCTAAGTGTGGCAATATAGAAAAGGGCACTGCGTGCATGTTCTGGTGGTTGTGATACAATTTCCTATACTCTCCTCCCTCTTCTTCACCAGGTCAGGGTGGGACTGAGGAAAATTTCATTTTTAACAACAATCCTTTTTACTTGCATGTACTCTCTTAACGAAAAAATTGAAATCCCTGTACTGAAAATAGTAGACAATTAAAAGTATGTTTAGGGGTATGGGAAGGACTGTGTAGCAGAAAACACTGGATTATTACATTCCAACATTTTATAATCTTCTAGACCTGTACTGTCCAATACCATAGTCACTAATCACATCTGGCTGAATTTAAGCTTAAATTACTTAACATTTAATAAAATTAAAAATTCCTTTCCTCAGTCTCACTGGCTACAATTCAGGTGCTCAGTAGCCACATGTGGCTCTTGTCTGCTGTATTGGACAGTGCAGATGTAAGCCTTTCCATCATTGTAGTAAGTTCTTATGAACAATTCTATTCTAGACCTTTAGCAGATACTTCCAAATTTCAGACAGTTTGGTTTTACTGCTCACTGCCTTTTTGTCAGTATATAGGAGATTTAGATAAAGGTCATAAGGCAAGAAACGTCTTTTGATTAATATTTTCTCTTTCCAAGAGAAAAACAAATATCATATATTAACACATATATGTGGATCCTAGAAAAATGGTACAGATGAACTGGTTTGCAGGGCAGAAATAGAGACACAGATGCAGAGAACAAACGTATTGACACCAAGCGGGGAAAGCAGCAGGGGGGAGTGGTGGGGGGGGGATGAATTGGGGTTGGCATGTACACATTAATATGTGTTAAATGGATAACTAATAAGAACCTGCTGTATAAAAAGAATAAAATTCAAAATTCAAAAAAACAGAATTCTCTTTCCAGTGGCTTCCAGTTCTATACTTTCTACAGATTTTGCTTAGATGACATATTCTGACTGAGGTAAAAATGATGATAGCATTGTACTGAATAGCAAAAAATGTTAGTCCTAAAATACTGCTCTTGTTATGAATGGAGATACCTACTCACAGAAGAAATACTACATTTGAAATATCAAACGTCGTCAGAAATGTCCTACTTTTAGAAATAGCAGTTAGGTGAGATCTTAAAAACTGAGATGTAGAGCTCATTTTTACAGGTGAGGGGATATAAAGAGGTGAGCACCTTGCCTAGGGTTATACAACCAAATTGTGGTAGAGTCTGCCCTGAAATCCAAAGTCATTACCTAAAAATTTGCCCTGCATTAGTAAGTAGTGGTACTAGTAAGACAATTTTAACCTAGGGCATTTAATAAATATTTTAAATGGATTGAGACAGACTCTCCTCTGAAAAGGTATGCTTCCGTGTTTGGAATTCTAGAATAGTTCAACAGGTGCAGAGGAATGGGTCTGTGACCTTAGCCCTTGGCTAGATCCAGCACTGGACCCACTTTGAGTCAGAGTTGGGGTCACTGCTGAGATCAGCCTTCTAGAGAGAGCTGGAGGTAGGGATACCCTTGAGGAAATATGGCTGCTGACTCTATTCTCCTCTTAGGTGCCTAAGGATGTAGCCTCTTAATGCTGACTGAGTTCAGAACCAAGGAGAGTCTGAAGGTTGTAAAACATTCCTTTAAATCAAGGTTGGCAAACTTTCTTTAAAGAGCCAGACAATGAACATTTTAAGCTCTGAGAGCTAGGTGGTCTCTGTTAAAACTGTTCAACTGTATGCTTGTGTGAAAGCAACCACAGGCAGTATGCAAAGGAATGAGTATAGCTGTGTTCCAGTGGAACTCTTTACAAAAACAGACAAGTAGCCAGGAGGTCATAACTTGCCCACCACTGTCTTAAAACACATTGGTAATGTAAGCATTTACAGAATAGTGAAATTAGCCCCGGTTTTTTTTTTTTGTTTTTTTGTTTTTTTTTTTTGCGGTACGCGGGCCTCTCACTGCTGTGGCCTCTCCCGTTGCAGAGCAGAGGCTCCGGACGCCGCAGGCTCAGTGGCCATGACTCACGGGCCTAGCTGCTCTGCGGCATGTGGGATCTTCCCGGACCGGGGCACGAACCCGTGTCCCCTGCATCGGCAGGCGGACTCTCAACCACTGCGCCACCAGGGAAGCCCGGCCCCAGTTTTAATAGTATAGTAAGGATTGGACTCTTCTCAACTTTGATAAGACCTCACTTATTTCAAGAGAGTATGTAGATGTATGTTATGGACAGCTTTGCATACCATTAAGTAACCAAGGGTTAAGGGATATGCTGTGTCTCATCCTGCTCTGTGTAGTTACATCACTTTCTTTGTTGTGTTTTGTTTTGGTTTGGCTTTTTGTTTTTGGCTGCATTGGGTCTTCCTTGCTGCGTGCGGTCTTTCTCTGGGTGCCGCGAGCGGGGGCTACCCTTCATTGCAATGCGCAGGCTTCTCATTGCGGTGGCTTCTCTTATTGCACAGCATGGGCTCTAGGTGCGAGGGCTTCAGTAGTTGCACACCGGCTCAGTAGTTGTGGCTCGCAGGCTCTAGGGTGCAGGCTCAGTAGTTGTGGCACACGGTCTTAATTGCTTCGCGGCATGTGGGATCTTCCCGGACCAGGGTTCAAACCCGTGTCCCCTGCACTGGCCAGCGGACTCTTTAACCACTGTGCCACCAGGGAAGCCCCATTACCTCACTTATATGGAATTAACAGAACTTTTATATGGATTGGCTTTTCTGACCAATCCATAACATACTCAACTCCCCTGCACTTATGGAAATAAGTAGTCTCCAAGGAGAACCAGAAGTGGTGCTGAGGGAGCATAACTGAACATTTATTGATTGCTTTTTACGTATGCTGAAATATGGAGTTTAAATAGTGACAAAGATGAGTTTTGTATTTTAGAAGAATTTATCTGATTGGAGGTGGGAGGGGGTTAGTTTGGGGAAAGCATATTTAGGTAGCAGGCCTCTCAGTTTATCTTTGGGAGACATAGTGAGGGCCCGAGGTAAAGCATTGGAGGAGGGGGAATATGTAGATAGTTTTATGAAGTAGAATCAAAAGGATTTCAAGCTTCTTGATTGTGTGTGCTATGAGAAGAGGCATTTTAGGATGACTCATTAATTTATGACTTGAGTGGATGTGTGGTGTACCATTCATCAACATCAGCCATATAGGAAGATGTGCAAGTTTTTTTGGTGGGACGTGTGCTAAGTTTAGTTTGGAAATGCTGAGTTTTGAGGCGTGGTGAGAGGGAGTTGCTGGGGTATCCAGTGCCCAGGAATTCTAGGAAAGGATTACTGTGAGACTATTTAACCTGTTGACAGTGAATTGTAAACTGTTGCAACTCTGCTGTTTGCCCACTTTAAGTAGTTACTTAGTGTCATACTCTACTGATAGGAATGTAAATTGGTAAAATCTTTCTGAAAATCAGTTTGTATCAAGAGCTTTAAAAATACTTATCTTTCTGATCTGGTAATTCTTTTGGGAATTTGTGGTAATTTTTTTTTTTTCTAAAATGTAGACAGATTTTGAACACAAAATTTCACTGTATAGCCAAGTGAAAGTATCTAGATGCCCAATGTTTGGGAAGTAGCTAAGTAAATTTTGGCTGCCTAAGATGGGATGATGATGAGCAGCCTTTATAGTCATTTGTCATATAGATATTTGAGAACTTTTTTTCTGACCTGGGAAAATTCTTTCAATAAGGATGAAGAATTACGAGTGTTTCTAAAACTTTAATGTGCATGTGAAGCATTTGGTGATCTTGTTAAAAGGCAGATTACATTTCAGTAGGTCTTGCATGGCACCAGAGATTCTCCATTCCTAGCCACTTCCAAGTGATCTGCTGTGGTCTGTACCGCATTTTGACTAGAAAGGTGTTAGATGACTTTGTCTTAAACAACAACAATAAAACAGAGAGAAATAAGCCAGAAAGTTAGAAGTGGTTGCCTCTAGAAGAGGAATTATTAGGAACTTTTTTCCTCCTGAATACTATTACTTTTCTTCATTTTTCGTATTTTCACTGTGTACACATTAGTTATATAAATTATGACTATGATAAAAATCATATGACTATGATTTAGGCACTGGGCTAAGTGTGTTGTGTGCTTTATTTTGTTACACTTTCAATGAAATCCATTAAGTAGGCAGAGGAGTATAATGGTGTCTACCTCGTGAGTATAATGGTGTCTACCTCGTGGGGTTTTATGGAGATTTTTCAGAATAATTCATTTTAAGTGACTTGGTTTAGTACCTGACATTTATTAAATCTCAATAAATCATAGCTTCTGTCATCATCATCATTGTTATGTATTTCCTTGTTTTGGTATATGAGACAGTTGAGCCACAGGGAAAGGAAGTAACTTGCCAAGGGTCACATAGCGAATAGGTAGCATAACCTGTGTTTCAATCTGGATCTGTTACACTCCAGAGCTCGCTGTTGTACTGTCTCCAGGGGGAAAAAAAGCAAACATTAGTGCAGCCACTGTCTACTTGGTTTCACATTATCCCTAACCACCCCCAGAATACCACCATACGCAGTCTTCTAAAAATGTGACCAGGTTTTTGCTTCAGTTTTGTCAAGTGTCTTCAGAACCTCTTTAAATATGACTGTTCAGAAATTATACAGTAATTTGACATATGATAAAATGACAGAATTATTTGGATAAATAGAGAGACTCAGGCAACCAAATGAAAAAAGAATATTTTTCATTTCCATTTAATATTGAGTAAATGCTAAAGGACATTTAAAAGAAGCATATGCATTTATGTATTTGTTTATTTGTATATGTAAAATGTAAAGAATGATGTAGTGAACACGTACCACCCAGTTTACAAAAAGAACATTATCTTATCCTTTTCCCCTCATAGGACATCATTTTCCTGCATTTTCGTTTCCTTCCTTTCCTTGCAGTTTCTCTACATGTGTTTAGTCCCTACAATGTATTGCTTCTTTTTATATAAGATGGAATTGTACATTATGTATTTTTCTGCAACTTGCTTTTGTCAACAAATGTTTTGTTCCTGAGTTTTATCCATATTATTGTGTGTAGCTGTATTTATTAACTGTATTCTGTGTATAACTATACTGTATTTTCTTCGTTCAGTCTACTGGTGATAGACTTTTTGGGTTGTTTCCAGAGTTTTTGCTTATTATTTCTTACAGTGCTGTGATGAGACTTATTCATGTGTCATGTGCCCATTTGCAAGAGTTTCTTGAGTATGTGTCTAGGTGTATGATTGCTTGGTCATAGGGAGTCTGCATATTAAGCTTTACTGGGTAATGCTAAATTTTCTGAAGTGGTTGTGCTAATTTACGCACCCACCATCAATCAGTATGTAAATATTCTAAATCTTCCGCATTTTTACCAATATTTCATATAGTCAGGCTTTAAAATTTTGCCCATCTGATTGATGTCAAATGACATTTCATTTTGAGTATAATATTTAACTTTTAAAAATGATGTTCTTTTTAGGTTTTATTTCTTTAAAAAGTCCTCAAAGTGACCGTTAGAGTTATCTGGAAACTTTTGGAATACAGAGTGTGAATATCGTCATGTAAAAAGCTATAGAATTTCAGTTTTTCATTTGTTTACTACTTTTGTAATATATAAGATCTTTTACAGTATTTTAAAAAATTCAACTTGATGGGCTCTTAATAATTGCAAAACACATTTTGTATATATTCTAAAGTAATTTCAGAGCAGCATTCTGCTACTTGATGGAGAAATCTAAAATTTCTAAAATCAAAGCTGTTCTGCTGAAAATTTTAATTTTGGAAATTGAAATCATAAAAATAAACACGTTGTGCATTAATCCTCTTTACGTTTCCTTTTTTCTCCCTTCTAATTGGTGCAGGTGTTTTAACTATTTGTCTTTTGTTTGGTTGCTTAGAGAGTTTGTAATAAGATGAAATATACAAAACTTCGTAAATCGATATCCTTTAAGAAACCAGAAGATTGAAAATGGCTGGACAGTATCCAACATGATAAGGAAATAATTGTACAGGAAGACAAACTTAAAATAAGATTGGCCTCTGGTGAGAATTCTTTGCCAATTTAAAAAACACCTTTTATGTTTTAGCACCAGTATGCATGAGCGAGTGCACCGAACAGAAAGACAGTTTCGATCACTCCCAGCTAATCAGCAGAAACTACTTCCGCAGTTTCTTCTTCACTTGGACAAGATCCGGAAATGCGTTGATCATAATCAAGAAATACTACTCACCATTGTGAATGATTGCATACATATGTTTGAAAATAAAGAATATGGAGAAGATGTATGTGCAAGTTTGTTCTATTTGTTTTTATTTTAGGGTTTGACTTCTATATTTTGAGATCTTTATCTTCCTGGATTTCATTTTTATGAAATGAAAGAGTCATTGGCTCTACTTAGAGAATGTTTTCACTTGTATGTTCAGTCATTTTATTAGGCTTAATAGAGCAGTATGCCAGAAACTGGATTTGTTCACTGATTTTTTTCCCCTAAAAGGACTAAGATAATTGTGGGCATTTTGATACACTTTTCACATAGTGTTCTGCCTATTGTGGCATATGGAGTTAGTGACTTACATTTTTATCAACAACTTTCCTAGCTGTGTGAAATTAATTTCCCTTGCTAAACATTATCTTCAGAATCTTGCATCTATTGATGTTCATCTTTTACTCTAAAAGATTATTTTCACTTATAAATCTCAAGGGACTGGAAGTAATAGAAACTGAAGTCCTGTTTTTGTATCCACAGGATAGATACAGTTGGGCCACTCCAGTGTGAACCTTTCCATGCTGCCCCATCAATGACCTGGAGGCTCTCTCTTTCCTCTCTTAGACGGAGAGAATGTTTGGTCTCCATAGCAGCTCAGTTCTGGTCCTCTCCTGAGTAAAGACTGCTTAATTATATGGTGGTTTCATGATTAATGGACCATACTGTATTGAGGGTAGAAGTGAGACCACCAAACTCTTTTCATTTAGAATCTCAAGCTGCACTTGAACCCCCGTCGAGTTGAAAGGCTAGTGACTTACCCTGTAAACCATTTATAAAGCCCCTTAGTAGCATGTTTATTTAATCATATTCAAGACTGATTACTTTCTGAGAAACTAATTGATTTCTGTTTTTTAAACAGGAGAATGGAAAGATTATGCCAGCATCTACATTTGACATGGATAAGTTAAAATCCACATTGAAACAGTTTGTGAGAGACTGGAGTGAAACTGGGAAAGCAGAAAGGGATGCCTGCTACCAGCCAATCATTAAAGAAATTTTAAAAAATTTTCCAAAAGAGCGATGGTAAATAGTATCTTGTTTTTAAACAGTTTCTTTAAGATATGTAAGCACTGAGTTTCTCTAAGAGACATTTCACAGTGTTGATTCATTTTTACAAGTTGCTGTGTGCCTGTATTTTTTCATGTGTGGGTGTATGCTGTTATATTTGTTCTCCGGTACTTTGTGTGAGATTGCAGTTAGTGTTTTGAATCATTATTGCTCTAGCACTATGGGAAATTACTCTATCTAAAAATTACATAATGAGAAGATTAGATTGAATGTTCATTATCAGTGACTTTTTTTTAATAATTTGCTTCATAGCAGAGCAAAAAGCTGCAAACTATTTTAATTTTCCTCATTATGGCATATCTGTAAACAAGTGAGGGATCTATAACTCAGAGAAGAGATTCTTAACTTTTATATGCCATGAAAACCTTGAGCAGTCTGAAGCTCATAATTTTCTTTTTCAGAATAACATAAGTGAATGAAGTAACATACATAGGATTACAAAGAAACCAGTTATTTTGAAATATACTTATGAAAATACTTAAAAAGAAAATGTCATGTAACCTGCTTTTTATCATGTATCACATTAAATAAAATTCTTGCAAGAAGTGTTAATGTACTTTGAAAATAACTGAACGGTATATGCTATTTTGAGAATCTCAACAGCTAATGTGAAGTGAAAATATATATGATTTCTATTGGTGATACAGTTACAGGTGCTCCTAAAACTACTATTGTTTGTGGTCTACATTCATAATTGACAAAAAAATAATCAGTTAAAGGTTAATGAAATGAAAATGTAATTTTTTTCCACCCCCTTATAGGTACAGTGAATTCTGTCTCTAGACCTCTTTGGTCCATGGATCCCAGGTTAGGAACCTGACTTACAGGTTATATATTTAAAGAGAACCACTGGGTGGAGTTCAGTCTGTTGTTTAAAAGGATCACTGTAGAGAGAGAGGCTCCTTTTCCTCATCTTCTTCCCCTCCTCATTGATTGACGTCTTTCAGTTTGGATGTATCCGTCCAGAGCTTTCCATACATATGTGTGTGTTCCTTCTCTCCCTCTCTTTTTTGAAAACTTTTTATTTTGAAATAACTTCAAAATTACAGATAAATGGTATGAATTGTACAAAGAGCTCCCATATATTTTTTTTTACCTGAATTCACCAATTCTTAGCATTGTACATTTGCTTTTTTATTTCCTTTGCTATTTCCCTTCCTTCCTCCTTCCCCCCTTTATGTGTTAGTCTATAGCCGTACATAGACACGATTATTACTTAAACTATTTGAGAGATCAGTTTCCATATATCATGCTTTTTCACTGCTTAATACTTGAGCTTTTTCCCTTAAGAACAATGATACTCTCTTCCATAAGCATACAGTGCAGTTACCAGATTGAGGAAATTTAAACTTGATTACTGCTTTCTAATCAATGGTCTATATTTAAGTTTCATAAATTATCCTAATAATGTCCTTTATGACACTTATTTTTTTGTATAGTCTAGGATCCAATCCAGGATATTGTGTTATGTTTAATTCTAATGTCTTTAATCTGGAACAGTTCCTAAGCCATTTTTTGACTTTCATGACATTAACATTTTTGAAGAATACAAGTAAGTTATTTTATAGACCCTCCTCAGTTTGACATTGTCTGATGTTTCTTCATGATTAGATCTAGATTATATGTCCTCTGTCAAAATAATAGATAATTGATGTTGTATCCTTTTCAGGATATCACCTTCAGAGACGTGCAAAGTCTGTTAGCCCATCATTGATGATTCTAATCAAGATGTTATTTGGTTTTCCCACTGTTTAGTTACTGTTTCTCTTCTTTTTAAAAAAAAAAAAAAATTAATTAATTTATTTCACCGCGTTGGGTCTTCGTTGCTGAGCGCGGGCTTTCTCTAGTTGCGGTGAGCGGGGGCTACTCTTCGTTGTGGTGCGCGGGCTTCTCATTGCGGTGGCTTCTCTCATTGCAGAGCATGGGCTCTAGACGCTCGGGCTTCAGTAGTTGTGGCTCACGAGCTCTAGAGCGCAGACTCAGTAGTTGTGGCACATGGGCATAGTTGCTCCGTGGCATGTGGGATCTTCCCGGACCAGGGCTCGAACCCATGTCCCCTGCATTGGCAGGTGGACTCTCAACCACTGCGCCACCGGAGAAGTCCCTGGTTTTTTTTTATGGAAGTAAGCAGATAAGTTCTTTTTTCTTTTTAAGTACCCCCTTTTTCATACACAAAATGGAGCATACTATATATTTTATTTTGCACTTTCCTTTTTCCACTTAATCCTCGATTAGCTCTGTAGCAGTTCATGGAAATCTTACTCAATCTTTTTTTTTTTAAACAGTTTCAGAATACTTCAACCAGTCTCTTATATTTGGTTATTTAAGTAAAGTAGCTGGCAGTATCTTGCAATTATAATGCTACAGTTAATAACCTTGTGCATGTATATCTTTAGTGTAAATTCTTAGATGTGGGATTGCTGCATCTGAAAGGTAAATGTATATTGGTTGCTGTGCAACAAAATCCCATAAATTTAACTGCTTAAAACAACACATATTTATTATTTCATAGTTTCTGTGGGTCAAACGTCTGGGCATGGCTTCACTGAGTTCTCTGTATAAAATCTTATAAGGCTGTAATCAAGATGTCTGCTGGGCGGTGTTCTCATCTAGAGGCTTGACTGTAGAAGCATTGACTTCCAAGCTCACTCAGGTTGTTGGCAGGATTTGTTTCATTGTGGTTTCAGAGTAACCATGTTAAAGGAAACAATTCAGTGGCATTAAGCACATTCACGGTATTGTGCATCCATCATCTCTGTGTACTTCTAAAACGTTTTCATCAACCCAGAATAAATCCCATACCCATTAAACAGTTACTCGCCATTCTCTTCACCCCATTCCCCACCTTTGTCAGCAGTGTGACTAGATGTGGTTTTCTTTGTGTTTCTCCCACTTGAGGTTGGCTTTGCTTTTGGGGGTTTGAGTAGATATATATCACCGAATCAATAATTCTTTGCTCTTATCTCTTCACATGTTTCTCCTACCTTTTTCTCTATTTCTTTCTTAGGGATGCCAGTTACATATATATTAAACTGTTTGCTATTGTCTCTCAGGTTTCAAGTGGCTCTTTTTCTACATTGCCCCTCCCCGTTAACTCGTTTTATATTTTAGTTTGGATAATTTCTATTGACTTCACTTGAACTTCACTGATTCTTTATTATGCCAGTCTGTTGATAAGCCCATTGAAAGACTTTAAAGTATCTGTTTTATTTAGTGAGCCTTTAACATGTAATGGATGCTGATCCACCTTGTTTGAATACTTTTATGTCTGTGTGCCATGTAGATTGTCTTTAGCTGAATAAGTATGAAAATCACCCAATGTATTTCTGCTTGTGACCAGTAGTTTTTTGGCATGCTGTGCTGTAATTATGTTCTGAACACACAGTTGAAGGGATAATAGATTCGTTGTATACTTTCGATTTTTTTTTAATCACTTAAAGCTTTCATAATTTTTATTCCATTGTTGATGAAGTCATGACACTACTGATGTTCAATTCCATAAATATTTCTTCAGTCGAGTGTATAGGGTTCTGGGTGTGAGACCCAGAAATAGCTCACTAAGCGAGTAACTTAGGACGCCCCACAATCGAATTTATCATTATTTCATCCATGTTGTCAGACTTAAAAAAGAAAAAAAAAGACGATTGCTTATTTCTGCATGTCCAGATATCTAATGCACAAGATTCAGATGTAGAATCGGTAATAATTCGCTGCCTTTTTGTGTGTGCTCTGCAGATACAATTTAGAAAGAAGTTTTTTAGTGACATGTTTTTTCTAGAAAGAAGTTTATTCTTAGGCTTCAAAGCTAGGCAGATTTCAAATATTCAACTACAGATATTTCAGATTTCAGATTTCAAATGCTTAACTTGACAAGCTTTTAATTTACATTTTTATTGGCCATAGGCTTTGTTAATGCATTTTTATACTTTATTATGTCTGGATTGAAGGTGATTTTCATAGATAAGATTGTGTGATAAGATTTGACTCTTTTTCTTTTTTGCATGTGTTAATCCATTGTTAGATATATGATTTGCAAATATTTTCTCCCGTTTTGTAGGCTGTTTTTACTTTCTTGATAGTGTCTTTTGATGTACAAAATTTTATAATTTGAAGTTCAGTTTATCAGTTTTTTTCTTTTGTTGCCTGTGCCCTATCCATTAAATCATTGCCAAATCCAGTGTCATGAAGATTTTCCCCAATATTCTCTTCTAAGAGTTTTATAATTTTAGTTCCTAAGCTTAGGTCTTTGGTCCATTTTGAGTTAATTTTTGCATATGGTATCGGCTAAGGGTCTGACTTCATTCTTTTACACGTGAATAGCCAGTTTTCCCAGCACCATTTGTTAAAAAGACTGTCTTTTCCCCCCATTGAATTGTCTTGGCCCTGTCCTTGAAAATCAATTGACCATATGTGACGGTTTATTTCTGGACTCTCTATTCTATTCCATTGGTCTATGTGTCTGCCCTTTGCCAGTACCATAACTATTTAAATTTCTGTAGCTTTGCAATTTTTGAAGTCAGGAAGTGTGATTCGTACATTTTATTCTTTTTCAAGATTGTTTTGGCTATTTGGGGCTCCTTGCAATTCCATATGAATTTCAGAGTCAGTTTTTCCATTTCTGTGAAAGAGGCTATTGGAGTATTGTTAGGGAGTGTGTTGAATAGGTAGATTGTTTTTGGTGTATTGATATCTTAATAATGTTAAATCTTCCTATCCATGAATACAGGATGTCTTTCCGTTTATTTAGGTGTTCTTTAATATCTTTAAGCTTTGTTTTTTAGTTTTCAGTGTACAAGTTTTCAATGTAACACCTCCTTGTTTAGATTTATTCCTAAGTTTTAAATTCTTTTAGATGCTATTGTAAATGGAATTGCTTTCTTAATTTCCTTTTCTGATTGTTCATTGCTGATGTATAGAAACAACTAACTTTTTTATGTGTTCATCTTGTACTCTGC